GTTGTACACTCTTTCCATAGTTGCCCCCTGTGGTTGTAATGCAACCATTAGCTGAATGTACTATCAATAAAATCCTGAGTCGCAAGTACTCATCTTAATATTTAAAAAAAAAAAAAAAATATACATATGTACATATTATAACCCATATTTAATAATATAATTAATCTTTCATAAAGTTATTGGTTAAAAATTAATTTACTAAATCTTTCAATAAATAATCTAAATTTTCAGACTCAGTAATTATACTGTCATTATTTATATTACTTATTTCTTGTTTACTCTTATAATAATATTATGATAAATTAATTATCTTGTTAATAAGTAAACTATCTTGTATAGATTCAACTTTTTTAAATAATTATAAATTAGACAAATTATTTTTATCATTTGAAGTCATTACTTTACTAATTGCTAAAATGTTAATAGACTTATGTAATTCAATCTCTATAAATCCTTCTTCATAGTTGCTTAATTTAGATCTAATGTTAGTTATATAATAGGATCTGACTTTAGCTATGTCTTCCAATTTTTCATTATCTAGTCATGTTTACTTATTACCAATAGTCTATTTTAAGATAAAAAAGTTTTATTAATAACTTACTTGTAATAGTAATATAAAAAAGAGCTGATATGACAATTCTACTAAATGATGAGGTTGAGACTTAATTGATCCTTATCACAAAATTAGAGTATTCATTCTTATAACATATGACAATTAATATTGGTATTAAAATATCAAAGTTGGTTCATTAATTTTTTACATTTTTGCTTATTATATTTTAAACTTTACTAAAAAGTAGTAGCAATAAGTGGTGCTTCTCTAAATCTGTACTCTTTTAATCTGAAACCTGATTAAAAAAAAAAATAAAATAAAAATAAAAATTATTATTATTAGTATAACTAGATAATAGCAATATAATAATCTAATTTTGATCATATAAATTTTATATGATTAAAGTTTAGATTTTCTTTGATATTACTAATTAAATATTAAACAGTAATATCATGATAATAAGAATGTACAAAATATACTAAAAGATAAATAGAATATTGAAATTCTTTAAACTATTTATTAAATATATTATCAATTTTGTATACTAAATTCAGACATTGTTACAATCAAATTCAGACATTATAGTAATCAAATTTGGACATTATAACAATCTAATTCAGAAATTATAACAATCAAATTCAGACATTAGTAAAATCAAATTTAAACACTATAACAATCAACTTTGATTTTACTAATGTCTGAATTTGATTACTATAATATCTAAATTTGATTAGTACAATGTCTAAATTTGATGCTAAAATGTTCAAATTTGATTGCTATAATGTCTGAATTTGATTGCTACAATGTTTGAATTTGATTACAATAATGTCTAAATTTGGTATACAAAACTGATAATTATTATGTTTTTAATAAATTAGTTAAAGAAATTTGATAAATTATTATGACAATTTTAACTAAATAATTAAAACAATCAGTTAGATTAGTTGCATTTGCTTCAAATATACCAATAACTTTCTTTATTAGTGTCCCAATAGATCTAATTTGTTGACAAATAATAAAAATTTATCATTGTTTAATAATATAAAAATATTAGTATTATATATAATGTTATGATGTTCTGTTAATATCTATAAAAAGCAATTAAATAAATAAATAAAAAATAAAATATAATAAAAAAAATAAATAAAAAAAACAATAAATTATAATTTAATCAAATACTAATTAAATATGTAAAATTGAATCTGTGATAAAAAATAGTAAAGTCCAATATGTTTTGCATTATAAATGAACTCTTTTTAATGAATTTTCATCTCAATTAAGTCTTGTCACAAGTATAAGTTTCCTTGATAAGATTCTTTAAAAAATAAAACAATTTTATTGTATTTATAAATTAGGTTTTTGATATCTTTTATTTTAACCAAATTGGCTGCAATTAAGTTAATTATATGAGCCATATATCTGATTTTCTATATATAAAAATATGATTTTTGAATTTTTCAATGTACATATTTGCAATTTAATACAACATCTATAACTATAACTACAAATTTTTTACTTCCTATATCTTCAATTATATTAGAAATTTCCTTAATCAAAAATTTATTTATATTGTATGTACTTTAGATAAATAGTTTTGTAATATAATGAGATATTCTTTTTGATCTATTGTTATTACAATATAATTGTAAAATAAATTCATTCATGAAGATGACCACCTGTCTAATAATTAAAAAAATTTTAAAAAAAATTTTAAAAAAAAATTTAAAAAAAATTTAAAAAAATGAAAAATTATATTTTTTAAATAAAATACAATTACTATATTTATATAATAATATTAATATTATTATATTTATATAATAATATTGATATGTATATAATTATATACTTAATGTAAAATTGACACAATGCTCAAGTTCATTATAGACTACACTGGTTATTCGTACTATTTCTGTGTCTAAAAGACATACTAAAAGAATTATTTGTGAGAGTAGAACATATTTGAGATTTAATTTTTTAATAAAATTTTTCATAAAAAGATTTTTAATAATTTCAAAAGAGATTTTTATTATAATCCAAACTTTTAATAATGATTAATCCAGACAATTACTTATTTCAGAAGAAAGAGAATCATTTTGTAAAGGATTAGGAATATTTGTGAAAGCTGATAATGATTTATAAACATATTAACTTTTTCTGTTAATTTTTTATGCCAAAATGTACTAATTTCTTTGGAACAAGATACACAATGATTAGCTAAATATGTTTTCAAAACTTGAAGTTTTTTGCACTTCTAGCTTTCATTACAATAGTAACATGTTGCTTTATAGTGATCATTATCACTACTGTCTCTTTTTATATAATATGATCAAATTTCATCAAAATTTGACCTGTTGGTTTTTTGTTTTCCATTCAAGAGGTTTGATAAAGTTGAACTAACATCATCCAAAATAGTTAAGCTTTGATGACTTAAACTTGCCATTGCTAAAGGTAAAAAATTTTATTTTGATTTATTTTTTTATTTTTATTTTGTCACGATTAATTGTTATTTAATAGAACACACTATTTTGCATTACAACATAATAGCACATATTATCATATTATTTACTACTTACATCACTACATATATTACGGCATATGATATATACAAATACTTACTACATTATTACGGTCTGTAACATATTATAATACTTACGACTTAATTACGACCTACGTCAATACTACAAAAGTTGCAACATTGGTCGTGAAAGTCGCAACTCCGTTACCGCATCTATACGCATAACTGATATAAAATATAATATGCTCTGAAATTGTATATTGGCAGAAACTTTATGATTGACCAATTATAGCATTATTTATTTCTCTTGTAAATAGGAATACGGGGTAAATCCCCTTCAGGCCCCGCAGCTGACTAGAATCTAGCGGGATATTCTCTCAAAATAGGAAATAAAAGTATTATCCTTCACTTAATATGATATAATGATGGGATAGTAAGCAATTAATTAACAATGAGATTTGCATAATAAAATTTCTTAGTAATTCAAGACAAAATACAAAAACTAATATTTTTAAATTTACCTCATTTTAAATCAGATTGCTAGAATATAACCAAATGGTACAAACAGTATTGATCAAATTTAAACATCGTAACGTAAACAAGTCAAATTATCGTTTTTTATTATTATTATATTAGCCATAACTTAAACCCAATGACCCATGATAAAGGCAATGCACATATATAAATTAATCAAATTAAATTTTCGAAAATGCGCTAAAGTATGAGTTATGCAGGTGATTAACCTTATTGCATAACTCTTGACTCCAATTTAATCAATTGTAGAGTTCCTCCTTAATATTATCTGTAAAGTTCTGCTTATACTTAATAACAAAAAAAGTAGTAACAAAACCATTTGTTTTATATGATAATGAATTTAGGAAATCGACTTCAGATATTTCTATTAAAATTCAATTCAAAATGAGTAACAATTTAAAATTAGTTTACTTTCTGTTTTGTATAATGATTAGCTTGTTTTATTATTTGAATTTGATCCCATTTTTTTTGCAAAAGTTAATGGAGGCTTCCAAATTACCATCTGCAGCTCTTCTAAACCACTCTTTTCCTTTCTCTTTGTCAACTTTAATTAGTTTACCATTATAATATAACAATCCTAAATTATGCATCGCAGCAGTATGTTGTTGTGTAGCTGCTTTTCCAAAATATTCTATCGCCTCGTATGGATTTTTTTTATAAATACATGAAGCATACATAAATTGTGCATCTCGATGATTTGCACCATCTGCAGCTTCTTTAAATGCATCAGCAGCAAGCTGCATTCTTTCATCATCAGAGTATGGAAAGTTAATCAGTTTATTAAAAAGATAATATCCCTTCCAATACTTTGCAGTATAATCATTATCTATTTCTGAGAATTTAACAATCGTTTTCCAAGCTCTTTCTTTAGAACCACTTTTAAGACTTGTCTGCTCAACCGCTTCTTCAAATGATAGATCATCATCGTCATTTGATAGATCATCATCATTTGATTCTGACGCATCGAGAGCGGCTGTATTAATCGATTCATTTATTATTCTAATTTTCCTAAGTATTTCCTTCATCTCCGGACGATCTTTGGCTTTGTATTGAGTAGCTTAAAATATTATATATGAATTAAAATTGTGTCGAATTGTTGAAATATGCCGGAATTAAAGTTAAATTTACCTTCAAATACAAGACTTTTCCATTGCTCTGGTACATCATGACTTAAAAATTTTAGATTCATCGCTCTGTCTAATATTAGTTGACTTATTGCAAGTACTGTAAATCCAGTTTCAGAAAAAGGAACCTTTTGCTCCGCAAGTTCCCATAAAAGCATTCCGTAGCTACAAGATCATTTAAATAAGCGGTTTTATACAGTAATATAAATAATCTTTCTTTTAGGGAATAATTAATTACCTGAACACCTCACATTTTAAATTATATCGTTTAGTGCTATCTTTAATCTTTTCGGGAGCCATGTAGCGAACGTTTTCCATTGAAAGATCAATATTTTTACTAACAGCTTCACTAAAACTACGACTCAATTCAAAGTTTGTGATTTTTGCACGTGCGAGATGATCAACTAATATATTTTCACTTCGAACATCATGATGATAGATTTCATACGCACTAAGGTAGTTTAACCCACGTGCAATTTCCAAAGCAAGTCTTGCTCTGATAGTGATATCTGGGCTTTTATTTTGGTAATATTCACGCAATGTTCCATATTCAGCCCATTCAGTAACGAGAAATTGTTGAGAATTAATTGTAACAAGGCCGAAGTATTTAATAATATCTCGTGATTCATTAATAGTTTTCAAAATGCCAATTTGAAGGTCAAGAGTATTTTGCTGTATATTTTGCTTATTTTCTTTTAAGTCTAATTTCTTAAGCGCTACATCCTCACCAAAAGGATTGTAATGATATTTTTGAACTTTGCCACGAATTGGTGTGTCTTCATCAATAATAAAATCATCAGGCTTAAGACTTGCATTCGAACTAATTTCTTTATGGAGAAGATCTTGCTTTTTCGGCATGTCAAATGCCCCTTTATTTCTCTTGAAACCTTCGACATTTTGCATGTGCGCTCTAATTTTTTGTAGCAACTCATTGTCACTTAATTTAATCCTTTTGTTTTCATTCATTTGTTCTTTATCAGTACTTTCTACAATTGATCGAAGGTACTATTTAAATATATATAAATATATATATATATAAATTTAATATTCTTTACATATAAAAATCATAATATTAACATGAATATTTACCTCTTTCATTTCTTCAATATCTTTATTTATCAAGTCAATATTATTTATTGATTGTTGATCATTTATTTTGATAGATATTGAAAATTTTAATAATTCGAAATATCTATCAAATTCGTTAAAAAGGTCATCAAATTCATTTCTTATAGAATCTTGATCAAAAAATAAACCGTAATTGTGGATATCTTGAAATTTTCTGATGAATTCTTCAATTTTTCTCATAAAAAGTTTTAAATTTCGTAAATTCGTACTATTGTCTCGAGTAAAAAAATCAGTGGATTCAGGGAATTCATTCGCACAAATTTCTAGACTGATTAGTGACGTACGGGCTGCTTGTATTTTGACAATTAATAATCCACAAATTCGTCTACTATGCTTTATATTTTGATAAACTTCTGTAATTTGATCAGTAACGTCTACAATTTCTCTTAATAAAGGAACGAATTTGCTGGCAGGAACGTTATTGTCCGCAGACATTCTATAATGAAGAATCAAGTGTGTGAAATGTAAATTCACAGTTTAATATAAAAGATACGGTATTTGTTTTCCGAACGTGTCACTAAAACACATCATTTCCACAATTATCAGTTCTTCGCAATAACGACAATGGTAATACGTAAGAATAATGCACATCAAATACCTGCAGTGGTTTTCATAAGAGTATTAATTTATACATATAAATTACCGTTATGTACGTAGTAATTTGTTTTACTCAATTTTCCTTTTAAAGTGTTCATTCTGCCATTCTTCCTTAAATAGTATTAATTTACATAATGATATTGATATAACATTTATGATGCTTCATCTCGAGGTTTTCAATTCTGGGAACAAAATTTGGTTCTTATTTTTTTTTTAATAAAAATATCAAATAGTAATTTAATGTCAGTAATTCCTTTTTCCTATATAAGAACATTAACAGGTATAACTGAGGTGAAATTTATTTGAAATCTTTTAATATCAGTAATAATTTTAACATTTTTAATATTTTTACAAATTAAACTAGGCGCTTGAGTTGCTTAAAGGGAGTTAGAAATGATTGCAGTGTATCGATTGCACTAGTCCATTAAGTATCAGATTTAATTCAGCTTAATGTAGTTTTTCTTGCGTACTTCCGAACAAACACTTTTGCATTTATATTATATAAACGGCTTGAAAGTACAATTGCATACTGTACTAAATTAAAGCCCATTGATTATTATCATTGTAATTATATTATACAAATTAGTAAAATATTGTTAAATACGATTAACATTGATTTGACATTGTTGTTATAAACATTTGTAATTTACTGATTAAAGTATATATATTCACTTCAGTAATTTGTTATCTATGCTGGTTTTTAATCGCATCTCTTACTCAGCATTTAGTCAGTGAGCATAAGATTATCCATTCCATTATGAATAGTTTATTGGTCAAAATTCGATTACTTAGAGAATTGATTCGGGCTCATTGTTTTTATGTTGAAAACGGTTTAATAAAATAAAACTGGTTCGGAGTGCTACGGTAACCAGATCCAGTATGTAGTTGGCTTCCAATTTAAATGTTAGTTATAATGTTAATGTGTTTAACTTAATAATATACTCTATGAAGGCATTCTTTCTTTTAATGAAAGATATTATTAAGTTATTCATTGATGCTTGAATGTTTTCAGGTTATTTTTATTGAAGATTATTGCTCATTTAAAGATATTATGAGTTATTGATATTTATAGAACAAAAAAGTATCATAAGATGGTTTTGGGTTTTTTTTCCTGCATAGCATTGATCATTTCTGTATATTAGCAGTGATCTTCTAATAAACATTTTACTTATTGTTTTTGCTCATGATCATTTTAAGCCAAAATTTTATCATATATTACATGCACTATTACTGTATTATAGGTAAAATTGTCATTTCTTTTTTTTTTTTTTTTTTTTTTTTGGAGTTAAGGTGAGGTCATGCCTCAAGTCTGTTTATTCGAACATATTGTTACA